AAAAGGTTAGGGATACATAAGGGATGGTGTAGGTGTTAGGGTAAAACCATGCTTTTAGGTATGTATAGATGGTTTCTATTTCTCTTATTACTATTTTGTTTGGAGGGATTATGAACAATTTTTAATTTCTTAAGATTAGACAAACAAGTGAGAAAATATTCCATATTCATGCCCTATATAATATTGAATAGATAGGTTACCTGTCTATAGATGAGACTGAATACTACATTTAATGTCAACTGGTGGAACTGACTGTTTTTTGATATTTTTTACTTCAAGCAGACAGATATTTTTGACTATAATACAAGGAAAGATTTATTATGAAACTTTACATTATAATTACTTGCGTTTTATTGGCAAGTGTATGCCAGTAAAAAAATGGTGAAAGGATTTAAATTGATTTGTGATGGCCTAAAATCGGCTTCCAATACTCTAACAGTAATCAAGATAAAATCGTGTACTTTAACTGAATTTGAAGGAAGATATTTAGGAGAAATATTACAGTATTCTTCCTCAATAAATAATGTTGATTTATCATGTAATAAATTTACGATAGATGGATTTAGAGCAATTTGCACAGGACTCAAATTATCCTCTGACACTTTGCAACAAATTAATTTTAATTATTGTAATTTAAATACAGAACAAGCGAAATATCTTGGAGAAACATTTCAACATTGTACCCAATTGGAAAGTGTTCATTTATCATATAATAAAAATATGGGATATGGATTTAAAATCATTTGTGAAGGACTTCAAAACTCTGCACAAAGTTTGATAAATATCAATGTAAAATCTTGCAATATAAATGCAGAACAAGGTAAATATTTTGGTGAATTATGCGGATTTTGTAAGTCATTGGAAAACATTTGTCTATCTATGAACGAGAGCATAGAAAATGGATTTATAGTAATTTGTGAAGGACTTAAATCTTTAAGAACTTTAAAAGAAGTTGATGTAAAGGGATGCTATTTAGATGAAGAGCAAGGAAAATATCTAGGAGAAACATTAAATAATTTTTCTTCATTAGAATATATTTATCTTTCTGACAATGATAAAATGAGCAATGGATTTCAAATGATTTGTAAAGGACTGAGATCGTCCTCAAATACTTTAAAAGGAATCGATGTAGCATTTTGCGGATTAGACTATGAGAAAGGAAAACATTTGGGAGAACTGTTTGAAAATTGTTCTTTTTTAGAATACATTAACTTGTCCTACAATGAAAAATTGACTGATGGATTTAAATTTATATATATAGGACTCAAAAGCCTTATCAACAGTTTAAAAACATTGCGTATCAGCTACTGTCAGTTAAGTGATGAAGTGGCTAACCATTTGGGAAAGCTGCTTCAGTATTGTTCTTTGTTGCAAACTATTGACATATCAGGCAATAAGCGTATGGGAACAGGATTTAAAACCATTTGCGAAGGACTCAAACCACTTTCTAATGTTTTAAGAGAAATTGATGTAAGTTCTTGTGATTTTGATGTTGAACAGGCAAAATATCTTGGAGAAGCATTTCAACATTGCTCTTCCTTGCAGAGTGTTAATTTAACTTCTAATCAAAGAATGGGAAATGGATTTAAAATTATTTGCAAAGGACTTAAATCCTCTTTAAGAAGTTTAAAAGACTTTGTAGGCTACTGGTGCAATTTAAGTGAAGAGAGTTTACAGTGTCTAAGAGAAACATTTCCACATAGTTATTCATTAGAAACTACTATGCTATGTGTGAATAATGAACATGTGACATATGGCTTTAAAATAAAGTGTTGATAGTCCAAGGTATATAATATCTTCTTTCTTCCATTTATTCTTATATTCTCTTCTTGATATCATACATTTGAAAATATAAGAGATTTTACATCAATACAGAAAATTGTTCTAAGCTTTGGTGAAGACATTGGAATAGGATTTGAAAATCTTTTTTTAGGTATATCATCATCATGCCATTCTCTTCAACAAATTTCTGTTTTTGAATGTCAATGGAATGAAGAACAATGCATTTGTTTAGGTAATCTATTAAGAGTATGTAATTCATAAAATTGAATTTCATAAACAGGGAGATAACATTAAAACTGATTTCACAAAAAATCATTGAAGGATTAAAGTGTTCACTACATTCCTTACAGCTTATAGATTTGAGTCAATATTTATTAAATGAAAATAATTATAAAGATTTGGAAACAACTTTCAAAAATTCTTTATTAGAATTGTAAATAAAATGAAATTTTTCTAAGGTTTTTAACAAAAATGGATTATATTTGGAGTCTTTACTTCTAAGCAAATTATTAGTAAACTAAATCAACAACTATCCTACAAAATAAAAGTCTTTCTAAGGCTTCTTCATATATAATTTTTAAATATCAATATGTCACTGCTTCTAAGAAGAAATATCAGCTAAAATGAGCAGGAAGTACACTTTCAAGCAAAATATTTTCGCAGCAATACTGCAAGAAGAAGTGAAAGAACCTTTAGGATGAATGGCATCTATCATGCTGAATTTACAACCAAGTTTTATAATGGAATAGGGAACAAAATAAATTATACTAATTCATTCTGACACATAACAAACTTGTATATGAATTTATTCTAAAAGGACAAAATGGAATAAACAATGATCAACGTTAACCTTTAATCTATAATTGGATTTTTAAAGTTCTTATTAATAAGAAGGTGAACTCATTTAGTCGTTTTTAGTAAAAGATGCTTTTAACAATACAAGTAATGTAGTATTCTCACAGTCTAAACACAGAGAGAGAGAGGGAATGATCATATATATTATAATTTTCTTAAAATTGTCACTATCCTTTGTTCTCTCTTTGCACTCTACAGGGTGTTTACAGTTTTTAATTATCAAGGTAGAAAGATGATTGATAGGTTAGCAACCCTGTTTTAATTTATAATTTATACTTTACCAATTATACTATACAGGTATCGATGATGCTATATTGTCTAATTTTACTCTTCATCACCCGATTTTAAATCCGGAAAGGTCAATTTTAATTGGAATTCCAGTATTTATGGCAATTTTATCAACATTATTTGCAATAATTTTCCTTCCAAACATCAAACAAATACCGCCAACATCAAAGATCCTTCTTATAAATATGTCAATAGTTGATTGTATATTTAATATTGCTTTTCTACCAACATCATTTGTAACATCAATTATTGGTAAATTTCAATATGGACATTTATATTGTGGAATTTTTGGTGTGATATTCACTTCAAATGCTATGAGATCTTTATGGATAATAGCTCTAACAACAGTTGGCCGTTACATTGCAGTAACAAATCCAAGCAGATAAATTGATTTAAGTATGCTATTTTCAAAATTCAATTTGCTTTATTGATTTACTGAACTTGTTAATTGTCTCAGATATAAAAATATTACAACTTACAATCGAGCTAAATTGGCAGTTGGTTTTTTCTGGTTGTTCTTTACACCTATAGCTCTTTACCTCTTATTAAAAGTTTTGGATTGGAACAGTATACTTTCCTTGCAAGTGAACTGATCTGTTGTCAGCCAATAGATTTACACCTGCATACAATTATCAATGTTGCAACTGGACCAGTTTTTACATTAGGAATAATATTTAAAACTTTTTGTTTTTTTAAAAAAAAATATTTTGAATTGTTTTTGAAAAATCTTATATTTCAAATGTCAATTTCTATTTCAACAAATATGTATTATTTATATTGGAACTACAACATATTTATACTATGCAAATTCACAGAAACACAACGACATAATAATATAAATTTGTTAAAAAGGTCAAGGTTAAATAATAAAAAGATAATTTTAAGTTAAATATTTGAAAAGAAAATTTGACAAGATAACTGCTGATTAAAGTCAATAAATTTGTCTGTTAAAATATACAAGACAATCTTATTCAATGTAAAATCTCCAATCCTTTTAAAATTCAATGTCAAGTATGTTTTTATACTGATTTCATCAAGTAAACAATTTAATCCATTTTCTTGATTTTGTGTAAAATTTTTCTAAAAATTTAATTCATTTTAATTTAATTGTTTTTTAATAAAAGTTAATGGATTAATTATCTTAATCATTATTTCATCATCAGATTCAAACTGTAGCTGAAGGAATGAACTATTTGATTTTATTGGTAGAGTAACATACAAGTACTCATTGAAATTGTTGTAGACAATTGAAATTCTATTGTAAGTGTTTTTAATCATAGTAATTTTCCTTCCTCCTGAAAAGAAGCTAAAACATGATGTATAATTTGAAAACACTAGAAAAAAAACAAACCTTTGTAATTAACTTTTACATAATTAACAACATTTGGTAAATTATTTTTAAATGTTATATGAGTGATATTAACAGGAAGTGGTAAAGTTGATTCAATTATACCCAATAAAATTCTATTGTTCTCTTCAATCAATCCAAATTTCACTTGTGTGTTTGTAAATTCAAGCCAGAAAAATTTCCATTCTGAACAGTTTAATAGTTTTTGTGACTGACTAAATTTAAAGTTTTTCATTTTCGGTTTTAGTAATGTCAAAGAGGATAGCCCTATTGTATCGTGAGTTATTGAGCAGATAATTTCATTATTATATTTAAAACTGACTACAAGAGAATTGCACAAGTTAAATAAACTACCTTTCACCTGATATTTAAACTCCTTTAGATTATTTATATGCTTATTGGACAGATAATAAATGACATCATTAGTTGTTGGAATGTTAAATATACTACTGCCAACATCAGTAATTGTATAAATATCAATCATAGAAATAAAAAATTTTCAATATTGTAAACTTGTAAAATTTTCATATGAAACCAAAATTCCTTGAATATACTTGAATATTTTTGGCAATTTCTTTGCTTTCCTTGTACTAAATCAAATTCTTGGCTAGTTGCAAAACTCCATTTTACCAAAATTATTTTTATGGTTAAGGCCTTGTTAAATCTTTTCAAGTTATTTTTTTTTCAATTGAAAATTACAAGAAAAGTTCTTTAAAACATGAAATATTTTTGATACACAATATTGAATCAGTTTAGCTGGATAGGCAAAAGTAATATTTATATCTTCTCCAATACAACCATTAATACATTCTGGATTCCAAAAACTATGGAAATTTGGTTAAGAGCATTATCACAATTACCACTGGATGCAGAACATAATGCCCCTATATCACCTTTTGAAATTCTTGTATAAATTACATCATCATCTCCATCATCATCTAGAAAAAATATTTAAAAGTTTACATTGCTTCATAGAGAAAAAACAAAATTTTATTTTTAAATGTTTACCTGTATAAGAAAATACCATAATTGAATAAAATCCTATGTGTCTCATACCACTGTGTCCTTCAAATGGTTGTAGATGAATGTACTCTCCTTGGCCATCTTCTAATAGATAACACATTTTGTAACTATCCAATTTATAAATAAAAGTTGGCCCTTTGCCAAAAAAGTGACATTTAATAGTTTAATTTTATAAATTTCTACTATAATTCTTTATAGTAATATTGTATCTTTTGAAAAAATTGACTTTAATCCATTGATTAACACAATCAGAAGGTGAACAAAGAGATGCCCAACCACCCATAAGCAACAGCTTATGTACAAGAGCATTTTCACATTTATAAGTAAAATTACCAGTAGCATCATGATGTGATGATTCTTCACAAGTAGCTAAATTATGTCTATTGATAACATTGACTAGTTTTGCCAAAGCAGTTATATAGAATGATAAGAAAATAATAAAAGAAGTTATAAAGTAACTGTTCATTGCAAAGTTGTTTTTCCAAATGTAATATTCTAAAAATGTTAATCCTTAAAAAATAAATTAAATATTCATATTCCAAACACTTTATCAATTTGACAATTAATAATCTCTTTAAACTTTCCAATAGTAATTTCAACTTGGCTCTTCTATACAGAAATGTCTATTTTTTCTCATAATTTAATATGTGCAATTATACAATTTATAAATTATTAATATATTCTTCTATTCATTGTAAATCGAATGACACTTTATGCTTTTTAGAGAAGTTGTCAAATGATAGCAAAAATATTGATTTTGCTCTAAGAAGGCCTAAGACAAAAAACAAATATATTTTTTATGTATTTTCTTAAATTTATGATATTTAACATATTCAATTTTAACTTGTTTTTTATTAAATTCTATTCATTTTACAATCAATATTTTCTGACAAACTTTTATTCACAATCTCCTTCCCAAGATTGCAATCAACTCCTTATCCTCTGATCTAGGTTTTTGGAAATTAGATTCTATTGGAGGAGTTGACACTGGTTTCAATATTATTGTACTATATTTTCCTACCTTTAAATGGTATGTTCCCTTCGGATGCAACAGAAAACTCTAAAATCAGCCCGTTTCTCTTCCTATCCTTTTGATTACTGCTAACCTTTAAATGGAACCCCCTAACTATAAAATCAATAGCTAATTTACTCCTAGCCATTTTCCAATCCGAAATATTGCTTTCAAATATCTCATTTGGTGATATTTTCTGTTGGCCCCGTTCCCTTCACCCTCTTTTATGGTAGTTATCTGTTTGTCAGTTTAAATCCTACCAGATTTCCCTTTTAAAGATGGGTAAGGGTTGATTTTTTGTGTGATTTTCAAATATCATTAAATTCTAATTTCACTCTTTCTATAAACTTTTTACTGGTTGAGAAAGAAACTAAAAGTAGGTTTTCCCGGAAACTATTAAGATAAGTTATCTCTTTTTTGAACTTATTACAGCTGATAAAATAAAATTATGTCTAAAATTGGGTTTAGACATTATTTCTGCTCATAATATTATGTCTTTTATCAGAAGTTATATAGAATTAGCATGGTTATAATTCGAAATAAAAGCTAAGTTAGCTCACTAGTAAACTTTAGTCGTTGTACCATAATTCAACAGACTATTCAAAATGG